TGTGATGTGCCATGGTGTGGTATATTATCATCTGGTATATCATATCATATCATATCATATCATACCATATTATAGCATATCATACCATATCATATCATATAAAAATAGTATTTTATCTTTCTGTTGTAGTAGTATAGCTTATTGAATTATCACTACTTGTTTATCCTGTTAGCATCCTGAAAGCTACAGAAGTCAGATGGATCCTATTTGAGACATTGTCTCTGCCTATGCTCTCTGTAAGGTAAATAACAACAATTCTTCCAGGCTTTGGTAAAGGAATTCACAGAATCAGACAGCAATCTGCAAAGCAGCTAAAAACAAAAATGGGTTCCCACGTGTAGAATCTGTACTTAGAGTGGTCTAGCATACTTCTTAAAATCCCCTTTGAAGACTTGGGGTTAGATCAGTTGGCAGAATGACTGTCCAGCTTCTATGAGCCTTCAGTAAACCAGCACTACAACAATCAGGTGTATTGGTAGGTGCCTTCCAGCATTCTGGAGGTGGAGGCAGGAGGATCAGAGGTTCAAAGTTCAAGGCCATCCTCAGCTACATGGTAAATTTGAGGCCAGTGTGAGCTACATGAGATCTACTTAAATACAAACAAACAAACAAAACAACTTCTGTGGAGAATACACCTAAGAGCACGGGAGCACCCCGAGGCCTCCACCAAACAGAGACTCCCTGAGAGGACCCTCCATGTACACAAAAACAGAGTCCAACTCTAACCCCAGGTCGGAAAGACCAAAGCAAAGGGGCATATGTCACACAGACACGGCCCCCTAGCCTTGATCCTAGGTGCCACAGCAGAGAATGTGCCATACTTATGAACCTATGGGTCTGCAAGTGAAAATGTGCAGAGAGTGAGACACTTTGGAGCATTTTGCCCTGAATTCAATGTTGTTGCTGGTGGTGGCGGTGGTGGTTTTGTTGTTGTTTTTAATAAAAATCTTCCTTTCAAGACTCAGGAATCTATGTGAAAGAAGAAATGGAAAGACCATAAGAGCCAGAGGTACTGGTAACTCCAAAGAAACAGGATCTTTTAGGGACACACACACAAAATCTGGTGCATATATGAATTTGCAGAGACTGTGACAACACACACAGACCAGCACAAGTTCACACTAGACAAGATCCCAGGACAAAGAAGGGAAAGTGGATACAAAGACCCACCCCCTAGCCAAAGAGCGAGCTATTTGCAATTAATACTGTCCCTTAAGAAAGGGAAAACCAGTCTTTGCCAGTGGAGGATACAGGGTTTACTGGCCACACTCCAGGATGGATATGATGCTCATGAGTAGATGATGAACACAGAATAGAATCCATGATTTTTGTGTGCTTCTTTGATTTTGGTTGGTTGGTGTGTGTGTGTGTGTGTGTGTGTGTGTGTGTGTGTGTGTGTTTGTGCACATGTGGTTTTGTTTGTTTGTTCATGCCCTTTTGGTTTGTTTGGATTAGAGAGAAAAACATTAAGTTGGGCTGGCAGGATGTGGTAGGATCTAGAATGAGTTAGGGGAGGGGAAAGAATATGATCAAAATATATTGTACCAAAAAAAAATTTAAGAAGCCAACAAATAAAATTAAAACTCATGGGTGAGGGGCTGGGCCAATGGCACAGTGTTTTTAGAGCACTTACTGCTCTTGCAAAGGACATGGGTTTGATTCCCATCACGTACAGAGTGGCTCACAGCCACTTATAACTCAACTCCAGTTGCAGGGAATCCAACACCCTCCTCTGACCTCCAAGGTCACCAGGCATGCACATGTTACATAAACACATGCACGCAAACAAACAAATGAACAAACTGTGCAACAACCAGCCACAATCACACAAAGAGTGAGGCCAAGTAGCCCTGCCTTTGGGACAGAACCATGGTCAGCAACCATTCCACTCTCCATCTATCCATGCTCGTCTGGAGCTGTGTACTCTGTCCTTGTCTTACGGGCCCCTTGTCTCCTGGCTGGGACACAGAACCATGTGGGAGCCTCATCTGGGACACGTCAGGATGTCTCCATGAGGGTAGAGGTGTCCTAGCACTGAAGTATCCATCCCTGGACAGGAGAGGGTTAAAGTCACAGCATATTTGTATTCATTGATTTGCTGACTTGGTCTATGCCCTAGACACGTGAGCTCACAAACACAAGGGCCTTGCCTGTCTTGTTCTCTCCCAGACTCTCAGTAACAAGAACAGCATATGACACTAGGGAGGTATCTCGTAATTACATCTTCAAAGGGTGATTAAGTCTTGGGCAATGCCATGTAGATTCCCCAAGCATGGCTAGTCATCAGGCCACACATCAGGAGGTGTGTATACCCTGTACCCATGTCTGCCCTCTAGGGTGACCTGGTATTTTAGATAGGCTGGACATTGCTTCACCTATGTGTGTTTTGCCAAGCAGGGAGAGACTGGAGGCAGAAGCAAGCACATTAGCAAATGCACTGTTTAGAAGGGCACAGTGAGGAGCAATTATCAGGAGTGATCAGAGCGCAACCTAAGCAGTCAGGTACCTGGCAGGCTATGGCTGGAGGCCAACCCAGACAGGAGGGTCCAGCCATGATGGTGCACAAGGTTATGATGGCAAACTATTATTTTCTGGGTAATGAGGAATTTCTAAAGCTTGGGAGTAGAGAAATAACATGGTAATGTTACCGTGGGAAGGACATGAAAAAAACAAAAATCAGAGAAAGGAGATCTCAAAATTGGGAAGTTCAGTTACAAGTCTACCACACATGTCCAGGTGAGGAACGATGGGAACACACACTAGTTTGTGGGTTGGGGATGGGGGAGACAGAGAAAGAATGACAATAAAGAGGGTCATGGAGAGAAATGAGACTCTATTAGATGCCAAGTGCAGATACTCAACAGAATCCTGTGGGTCTAGTTGAAACCGTGAGAGGGGGGATGGAAACACCTCGTTCAGGTGCATCATATAGAAAAGCCAATGAAAGTAAAACCGTTTCCCCCAGGAAAGACAAAAAATGTGAATTCGATGGCGAAGGAGTCGCACCCTGTGTCCCTTGTCTGAGCAAAAGCTCCATGGACCTTCATTAAGAACCCCTGATTGAGAAGAGGAAGAAAGACTGGATGGATCCTGACTGCCGCAGAGACAGGCCGAACCAGATCAGAAAGGCGGCAGAAAAAGGACAAGGGGGGAGTATAAAAAAGGAGACCTTTGCTCTCCAGTTGGAGGTGCTTCGTGTGCCCAGGAGACCATGCACGAGGCAGGATACAGAGAAGCAAACGGAGCTGGCATGATTTTTAGGAGTTTAGGGAAGGTGAGTGGCTCAGGTAGGAGTGGACAGGAGCTCACTGGACGCCTCACATGAGTGCTTTCTTGAGCTGTCACAGATATTCCATCTGAGAAAGGTAAAAAAGTGAGGCTCTCGCTTCATCAAGGACTGCGGCTCTGTAGCACCAGCCTGCGGGCTGTTTTCATCCTGCCTGACCCTGATGCAGCAGCCATCACCGCATGCTCAAAAGCGTCCTCAGGAGAAACTTCTTCCCAGTCTCTATGACAAGAACTGCAGATCTTTTAAACATTTCCATTTTCTTGTTTTCTTTCTTTCTTTTTCCTCTCTTCTCTTCTCTTCTCTTTCTCTCTCTCTCTCTCTCTCTCTCTCTCTCTCTCTCTCTCTCTCTCT